GGCACATGCACCCCAGTGTTTACAGCAGCAATGTCCACAATAACCAAATTATGGAAAGAGCCCAGATGTCCATTGACAGATGAATGGATAAAGAAGATGTGGTATATATATATACAATGGAATATTACTCAACCATCAAAAAGAGTGGAATCTTGCCATTTGCAGCATGAATGGACTAGAGGGTATTATGCTAAGCAAAATAAGCTAGTCAGAGAGAGACAAATACCATTTGATTTCACTCATATGTGGAATTTAAGAAACAAAAGAGATGAACATAGGGGAAGGGAAGGAAAAATAAAATAAGATGAAAATTGAGAGGAAGGCAAACCATAAGAGACACTGAACTGTAGTAAATAAACTGAGGGTTGCTGGAGGGGAGGTGGGGGTGAATGAGCATTATGGATGGCATAATGGATGGATGAGTATTGAGGAGGGCATTTGATGTAATGAGCTGGGTGTTATAAGCAGCTGGTGAATCACTAAATTCTACCTCTGAAACTAAACAAAAAGATAAAATAAAATATAGGAGAAATAAATACACCACCAGCACAGATGGGGATGATTTAAAAAAAAGAGAGAGAGAGAAAGACCTCTGCTATAGCTTCCTGGAAAGATTAGTGGGGAGGGGGAGATTTTAGCTTCAAAGATAAACTCCTAGAATTCATGGTTTTTCTTCTTTCTCTTCTCATGAGGTGTCTCTCCCGTCACAAGTCCCTGAGCTGTTTAGTTGCATCAACCAGTTTTAAACAGTAAAAGGGAATGGCAAGGCATAAAGTATATAACCAAAAACAAACAAACAATGGTGTGCCAGACATTGTTCTCATTGCTTTGCATTATTAATATGTTTACTCCTCATCACAACTAAGTGAAGCAGATGATATATCACATTTTACAGATATGTAGATTATATAAAATTACACACATATTGTTCTATATTATTCAGTTATTTTGCATTGCAAAGCAGTCATCCATTAAAAAAAAAAAAAGGCCCTTCTTGTTTTACACAATTTACAGTCATAGCTGATCTCAAACCTTGGTGGTTTAGGAGGATGTGAGGGAGGACAGTCCTTGTCTCTGGTTAATTGAGTTAATTTCTGCCCTCTAAAGTGTCCAGAGTGTCCCCTTGACCCCCACCCCTTTCTCTTTTAATTTCTGAGGGAATAAATTCCATGTGTGAAGGTTGGCCATGTCCTTTCGCAGCTGGCCATACCCAGAAATACTGATTTGGCATGTGATACCATGATTGAAATCATACTGAATCTTCCAACTTCCTATAATTCATGCTAAACATCTTGGTCTGCTTCTTTATCTGTTGATCTATCCATGATTTTCACCAGCAATATAGCTATGGTAGCAGGTCCCCAGAATGCTGTGTGTCTTATATTTGATGAAAATCTTTGGCTGATAGTGATAATAGGACTCTTAAAATAGTTATTGGTGGGGTGGTGGGGGGGCATCTGGGTGGCTCAGTCAGTTGAGCCTGATCTTGAGCTCAGGTCTTGAGCTCGGTGTCTTGAGTTCAAGCCCCGCACTGAGCCTACTCAGGCCCAGCGTGGAGCCTACTTAAAATAAATAAATAAATAAATAAATAAATAAATAAATAAATAAATAAATAAATAAAATACATAGTTTTTGAGTTATTTGAAACTGTATACAATAGAGTAATGAGGCCCAACTCTGTTTTTTATAATAACTAAGGATGTTTACTGTACCCCAAAAGCTTGTCAAAAGCTACAAGTGTTCCTTTAAGAATAATAATAACTAACACTTACATAATGATTGCACTGTGCCAGGCCCTGTTCTAACTGCTGTATGTATATTACCAAATTTTAATCCTCACAATAACCTATGCAAGAAAATTAGTTTAACTTGTTTCCTTCCTTCTATCATTTTCTTCTAATTCCAAGTCTTATGTGGATGCAGTAAGTAGTGAGACTTAATGTCACATGCTTATACTTGATTGCAAGGGAGGCCATCAAGGCAGGCCCAGGCCTTTGCCTCGGGAGTTTGGACTCATCATGGAGAAAGTGAACACAATATGGAAGTGTGTTTAAAAGATTCCAGGTTACCATCAATATAAATAATACCACTATGGAGACACAGGAGGAAAATCAGTAAAGTAGCATCACAGAAGCCAAGGGAAAAGTATGTTTCAAATGCCACCAAAAGATCCAGTACTGTGAAGAGTGAAAAATACTCATTGGCTCTAGTGATATGGAGGTCACCGATGACCTTAGTGAGAACCATTTCAGCAGAGTGTTGGGAGGGGAAAGAGATGGATTGGACTGAGGAGAGAATAGGTTTGAGGAATTGAAAATAGTAGGTGTAGACAATTCTTTAAAGGTCAGCAGTGAAGAAGGGGAGAAATATAGGATAGCAGTTGATAGAGTGGGAAGTGGGATCAGGGATTTTTTTTTTTTTTTAATTTTAATGTGAAGGATTCAGTAGAGAGAAGATGATGAAGATATAGGATAGAAAAGGTATAATCAGTAACAGTAAGCTTCTGAGAAGGAGGCTGGGGATGGTATTCAGAGCACACTACTATTTCAAAAGGTGGAATAGATGAGAGAACACTAGCAACTGTAAACAGGTCTTTGTGGTAGAAAGTCAAAGGAACTTCTTTAATTGACTTTGTCTTTTGGGAAGTGGGGCATAAAATTGAAATTGGGAGAATGAGGGTGTGTTGGTTGAAAGAAGAAGGTTTTAAATGGTAAAGTGTAGCAAGCAAGCTGACTCGAGCAGTATATCATGACTGAGGGAGTGCTGAGGGCTCTGGTCAGGTAGGAAATCTTTCAAGTATAGGTAGAAATGCCACTCTGGCCTATTTCACAATTTCCTTCAGTGTGGTTTAGCTGCCAAGATGCAGGCACAGAGGGAACAGATGGAGTATTTATCCAGGATTGGGTTTATGAAACAATAAAGGGTAGAGGGGCAAGGGAGTCTAAGATGTTGGTGAGAGAGATGAGGGGCAAGGGAGTCTAAGATGTTGGTGAGAGAGTTACTAAATTGACAGACCACATAATCTAAACTGAATGACATGGGTAGTAAACATCATGGTGGTAATGGTGGTAGTGTTAACTAATAGGGACTTCAGTGACCTGAATGTCCCAGAGATACAGAAGGATGTTTGAGGTGGACAATGGTAGAATAATCAAACTGGAAAGATAGAAGTTTCAGGTCAAAAGTAGATGTGGTAAGCAGCCTCTAAGAAAGTTCCCAATGATCCCTGCATCCACTCTTGTGCTCTTTCACTTCCTCACTCTGAGGGTCTGCCATGTTGTGAGCTTCCCCAGGGAGAGGCCCACCTGGCAAGGACTAACGGATGCTTCTGGCCAATGGTCTGTGAGGAATTAAATCTTGCCCAAAACCATGTGAGGGGGCTTAGAGGCAGATCCGCTGCCATTTGAACCTTTGGATGAAACTGCAGTCCCAGCCCATAGCTTGATTGCAGTCTCATGAGAAACCTAGTATGAAAGGCGTCCAACTAAGCTCCCTGGATTCCTGGCCCATGTAAATTGTGAGATAATAAATATTGGTTGTTTTAAGCTACTAAATTGTGAGGTAATTTGTTATGCAACAGTAAGTAACTAGGCAGGATTATCACAGCACAAATTAGATGCAAACAACTTTTGTTTAAAGGGAAAAGAAGATCTTTTTCATAAAAGTCATGTTAGAATTGGATTAGAGTAACATTTTATGGGTTCCAATACTAGTGATAAACTGAAGTAGTCAACTGGAAAAGAAAATGTCAAAGGATCTTTTGAGAGGGCTGAAAACAACTGAAATATCCCCTTACCTTAACTTAATAGCACCCATTTCCAAGGTGCCATGCTGGAAAATAATGCTGACAGTTCATATATTTCCTATAATGATTATACCTGCTCTGGATCATTCTCCTTTAGCTCCAAAATGAAATAAAAGTGAGTAAAAAAAAAAAATCTATGTTTTAACATACAAAATGAAGTGTGTATTATTTTTTGCCAATCTTACTTAATCAGAATTTAACTCAGTAAGGGATATTTACTGTTTTCCTCACTACTGTATCCCCAGAACCTAGAGCAATTCATGCACCTATTTAAGCTTTTATTCCTCCAGACTGTTCACAGAATAAAGTCTAAACTCTTCAGCATTACAACACAATTTTTATTGACCTGGCCTTTGTGTGGTTTTCCACCCTCCCACCCCCAGTTTGCTTGGGTGGCCACAGTGTAAAATCATTGTACTCATTGCTTGTTTTTCAGTTCTGTCTTTGCTTTTGGTCCCTGAACATTTATTTACATTTCACTTGATAGCTACTCACTTAAAGGGATATATATAAAATTATTTATTTGTTTTATCCAGTGTTTTTTGATATATGTAGTAAGAGATTTTTAAAATTTCTCTTTGAAATATTGCCCAAATCCAAAGTCCTACTATATCCATTTCCATCTCTCTCTATATTAAACATTTCTGTGTAATTGTGCTCTAAGTGAAATTCTTTTAATTCAGCAAAAGAGGTATTTTGTTTTGTTTTTATCTGATCTAAAAGTTTATTTTAATAGGCAAATTTATTCCATTTATATTTATTGTGATTACTGATATATTTGGGTATGTTTATGCCACTTTTAATGTATTTTATGTCTACCATATTTATTCTTTACATCTTTTTTTCCTCTTTTCATGGCATATTTTAGTTTGATTGCATTTTCTTTATCCCCATTCGTATTTCCTTTTGTTGATTTGGAAGTTGTAACTTTTTCTTTCTTTTTTTTATTATTATTTTTTAAATTTTTTTAAAGATTTTATTTATTTATTTGAGAGAGAGAATGAGAGACAGCACAAGAGGGAAAAGGGTCAGAGGGAGAAGCAGACCCCCTGCTGAGCAGGGAGCCGGATGCGGGACTCGATCCCGGGACTCCAGGATCATGACCTGAGCCGAAGGCAGTCGCTTAACCAACTGAGCCACCCAGGCGCCCTCTTTCTTTTTTTTAAAAGATTTTATTTATTTCTTTATTTGACAGAGAGAGAGAGCACAATCGGGGGAGCAGCGGAAGGAGAAGAAGAAGCAGGCTCCCTGCTGAGCAGAGAGCCCAATGAAGGGCTTGATCCCAGGACCCTGAGATCATGACCTGAGCTGAAGGCAGACACTTAACTGACTGAGCCACCAAGGCACCCCAAGAGTTGTAAATATTTCTAACAAAGTCTAAAATTTAACAGATTCTTGCTATGTCTAAATAAGGACTTTAGAATACTTCAATTTCCAATATTCATTTCACTGTAGTCAAGTATTTCAGTGTCACCATGTTGTTAGCACTCTTCCAATTTATCTGTTAATGTCCTCATTATTTTTAGGAGTCGATATTTATTGAAGTTTACTAACACGTTTTTACCAGTTTCTCTGTTTACCATTGTATCGTGTGCTCCACATCTCTCTTTAGCTCATTTTCTTTTCTGCTGTAGTATATTCTTAGTCATTTCTTTCAGCAAATGTCTATCAGTTTTATCCTTTCTGTATCTGAAAATGTCTTATTTTATCCTCCTTTTAAAGTTAATAGTTCAGATGGATAGGAAAATAATTCAAATATATAGAACAGTTGAAAGACTTTTACAGTAAACACCTATATCCTAACCACCTAGATTCTATATTTGTTAACATTGTGCAGTATTTGTTTTATCCTACATCCACTTATCTATTTCTCCATCTTATTTTTTTATGCATTTCAAAATAAGTTGTAGACATCCATATACCTCATCCTTAAATGCTTAGACTGAATATGATTAGCTACTATTCAATATGTGTTTAGAATTCCTTTTTTGAAATAAAATATACACTGCATAAAACTCAAATGTATCATTTTATGAGTTGTGACAAATACATGTACCTGTATAACCTATCCTCTTATCAAGATATAGAATGGTGCCATACTCCAGAAAGTTCCATCATGCCCCTTCGTAGGCAATCTCCAGAATCCCCCTTAAGAGAAAAACACTGTTCTGATTTCTTTTTCACCATAATTTCATCTGCTTGTTCTAGAATTTTGTATGAATGAAATCATACACCATGTTTTCTTTTGTCTAAAGCTTTTTCATTCAGCAATGTTTTTGAGACTCATCCATTTATCTGTAGTTTGTCTCATTTTATTAGTGAATAGTATTCTACTGTATGAGTGTACCTATTCTGCCAGTGATGGACACATGCTGTTTTTAGGTTTTAACTATTATGAATGAAGTTGATATGAACAAATCTTTTTGTGGACATATATGGAATTTCTGGGTTGTAGAGTAGGTGAATGTTTAGTATGATAAGAAACTGTCAAACTAGGCGGTCCTCTTTTCATGCCTAGAGCAGCCATAGCTCATGGTCCCAAGAATCATCTGAAGCATGTAGCAGATTCAAAGCATTGGAAGCTGGATAAACTGGCCAGTGTGTTTGCCCCCCCATCCACTTACTAATCCCCATAAGCTGAGAGAATGTCTCCCTCTCATCTTTTCCTAAGGAACAGACTTAAGTATGCCCAAACAGGAGATTAAGTAAAGAAGATCTGTATGCAGCATTTTATTAAGATTGATGGCAAGGTCCAAACCGATATAACCTATGCTGCTGGTTTTAGGGATATCATCAGCATTGACAAGACTGGGGAGAATTTCCAACTGATCTATGATACCAAGGGTTGCTTTGCTCTTCAGATTATACCTGAGGAGGTTAAGTATAAGTTGTACAAAGTGAGAAAGATCTTTTTTTTTTTTAAGATTTTATTTATTTGACAGAGAGAGAGAGAGCATGAGCAGGAGGAGGAGGCAGAGGGAGAGAGAGAAGCAGGCTCCCCACTGAGTAAGGAGCCCGATGCAGGGCTCCATCCCAGGACCCTGGGATCATGACCTGAGCCAAAGACAGACGCTTAACCGACTGAGCCACCCAGGCACCCCACAAAGTGAGAAAGATCTTTGTGGGAACAAAAGGAATCCCCCATCTGGTGACCCATGATGCTCACGCCATCTGCTATCCTGATCCCCTCATCAAAGTGAATGACACCATTCAGATTGATTTGGAGACTAGAAAGATTACTGATTTCACCAAGTTTGACACCGGTAATCTGTGCATGGTGACCTGAGGTGCTAACCTGGGAAGAATTGGTGTGATCACCAAATGAGAGAGATACCTTTGTTCTCTTGACGTAGTTCACATGAGAGATGCCAATGGCAACAGCCTTGCCACCTGGCTCTCCAACATTTTTGTTATTGGCAAAGGCAACAAGCCATGGATTTCTCTTCCCCATGGAAAGGTTATCCACCTCACCATTGATGAAGAGAGAGACAAGAGACTGGTGGCCAAACAGAGCAGTGGGTAGAAAGTCTCTGTGTGATGTGATTGGAAATTCTTAACTAAAGACAATACAGCATGATAACAACAACAAAAAAAGAAACTGCCAGGCTATTTTCCAAAGTGGTTTTTATTATTTTACATTTCCACAACAATGTATGAGAGCTCTGATGGCTCCACATCCTTGCCAACGTATTGTGTTGTCAGTCTTTTTGATTTTAGCCATTCTGTTGGGTATATACGGGAATTCATCATGTATTCCATTGTTTCTGACTCTCTTGTTCATGTTGAGATCTCTAATGGCAGTGTCATTTTCATTTTTTGTAGCTAATCTATTTTTTCCTATTATAGTTTTTAAGATTATCTTTTCCTTTTATGTTCTGAAGTTTCACTGCAATATGTCTGGATTTGTTTGCTCCCCTTTATGCTGCCTTTTTAGTTTGAGAATTTAATTTTGGAAAACTCAATTTGGTGTACTTTGTAATTATGTCTGTATGCTCACTATTGGGGGGAATTGTTATCAGTTGGACCTTAAGGTGTAGTGTTTGGTATAAGTTTTTCCTATGGGGGCAGTTTATTATTGGTTTCTGACAGGGCTATGTGAGATTTCTATATAAATTTCTGGCACAGAAGTGCCACACTGTGAGGGCATTTGGGAGAATTCCACCCCAAATATGTGGAATGTCTTGTCTAGGGGTTCTGATTTCTGAAGGTCAACTGTTTCCACCCATGTTCTCGGAAAGCTGAGAGCTAGGGCTGGTAGGTCCTAATTTTCCAAGCTTCTGGTTTCACCAGAAATCCAGTTCCAGTTTCCTCACTATGCACAGAGCCTGTGTCCTCAGCTTATACCATCGCACAAATACTAAAACTGCAGCCTTAAGGTGCATTTCTTTTTGGGTTACAAGCCTCCCCCACCTCCCTTAGATTCCCACTAAGTGCTGTGGATTCCTTCCTATTTTTGACTTCTGAAATTTTCCCCTTTTTGCTTTTGAGCTTGGCAATATATTAAAGATATGTTTAAAAACATTTTTTCCCTGTCATTTCTATGTTTAGTGTAGAAAGGCAGTACTCACCTCTCTTTAGCTCAATCTACCACCTTGATTGTAAGTTTCTACTTACTCTTTTTTTAAAAAAAGATTTTATTTATTTATTTGAGAGAGAGAGAGAGAGAGAGAACATGAGAGGGGGGAGGGTCAGAGGGAGAAGCAGACTCCCCGCTGAGCAGGGAGCCCGATGCGGGACTCGATCCCGGGACTCCAGGATCGTGACCTGAGCCGAAGGCAGTCGCTTAACCAACTGAGCCACCCAGGCGCCCCTCTACTTACTCTTTAAACCCATTGTAATTTGGCTTCTTCCCCAGTATTCCATTGAAAATGTATCTACTAAAGTCTCAAATCACCAATGAATCATTAGATCCAGTGGACATTTTCCAGTGTTTACAGTATATAGCGTATGATGGTGTTCCTCATTTCTCCCACTTAAAGACTTTCTCTGGTTGGGGCACCTGGGTGGCTCAGTTGGTTAAGCGGCTGCCTTTGGCTTGGGTCATGATGTCCTGGGATCGAGCCCCATGTCCGGCTCCCCCCTCGGCGGAGAGCCTGCTTCTCCCTCTCCTTCTGCCTGCCACTCTGCCTACTTGTGCTCTCTATCTATCTGTCAAATAAATAAATAAAATCTTAAAAAAAAAAAAAGACTTTCTCTGGGCTTCTAGAAAACTGCTTCTCAGAGTTGTCCCTGTTTCTAAACTCCTCCTTCTCAGCTTCCTCTGAAGTCTGTAAATTGTTGATTTCCAATCTCTGGCTCTACCCAGATGTGTCTTTTGGGCTCTACACCTGTGTGTATCCACCTGCCTACTCAATATTTCTTTGTAATGTCCCCAAAACACCTCAACTTCTTCAAAACTGAATAAAAGTTTCCCTAAATCTGTTGTAAGAACTGAAGAAGAGTAGAGTGTTATTTCTATTGGTCATGGTCTTCAGAGGAGAAAGTTTACATGAATGTGGAAGAGTAGTGATTTGGATTAGATGGTACTGAGGGATTAGATGAATTCTCACTGAAAGGCCATAGCAGATGAATATCCTCCAAAGGAGGGGGATCAGTGGGATTGCAAGACCTCAGAGGAAAGCCAAGTCTCAGTTAAGAGGAGACGGGAAAGTCTTCAGTGACGAGATCAAGCTGAATTATAATTTATTGACAAAGAAAGAAAGACTTAGAGTGTATAACTGAGAGAGGAAAGTAGCTGAAAGGAGAGAAATTATAAAGAAGCAAAGCATTCACCAAGTGTTTATTGAGTTTCTCGAGGGCAAGTGCCAATCATTAGCATCTTTCCATCCTTAGAATCTATCCCAGTGTCTGGTATATGTTAGTCTCTGAGCAAATGTTTGTTATAATAAAATGAGACTGTTGTAAATGGCTTTTAATTATTTTCCACAAGAGGGAGTGCAGTAACAGATCCCGTTCTTTGATGGTAAGAGGAAATGAGGAAGAAGGATATTAACTTTGGGCATTTAGAAGGACATAACCCAATTCTACAAACATTTATAAATGCCTATTGAGTTAGCCACAGTTGAGTGCAACACCCACATCTGTGCATCCTTTCCCCCCGGTCACATATGAATGGACTATGAGCTCACTGTGGCAGATTCTCTCCCTTCTCCCAGGACTCGGCGGGAGATTTCTATAATAAAGAACAGGTCCTTCCAGTGGATATGGCCCTCACAACCCTCTTTCTGTAAGTTTATTAGAAAAGAATTTTTGTTAACAGACATTAAATATAACGCATAATACACCAATCATTGGGTTATAGAAGCTGAAATTTCTCTTGCTGCAAATTCCCCGTTTTAAATATTTCACTCATGGTGGCAGAGCAGGTGAAGTTACCTCCGCGTTCAATTTCTCCTACGGGTGCTAATTATTTGGTATTGATGAGGCATCCCTGCTTGGCCATTCTGGTTCCCAGTACCTTCCAGGACTCACAGGTGACTCTCCCATGTTTGAGGGGTCCTTGGCTTTCTGAAAAATGTCACCTATACGTAATAGTCTTAAGAAAAGGGAAAAAAATGTAATTTCTGTCTTTGCATGATACCATTTCCACCTCTCCCTCCCATATGTGGCATTGTCTTCCTCCGCATTTGATAGATTTTTTTGTTGTTGTCAGGCATAGAGATTTTTCTGTTATCTCCTGGACTCTTTTCCCAGCCAGTCTGCAGACTTCCATCGCCATGCTTTCTCTGTTGTGGTATACCTCCATTACTCTCAAGCCCCCTGGGAACTCACTAATTACATCATGGCTCAATTACATTGGTCAGAACAAAGACTGGCAAAGTTCATCTTTGTTTCAAGGAGCTCTCCATGTATTGTATGATACGGATATAAACTCACGTTATAATTGAGGAATAAACTAAACACTGGAGAGTACAGGAGGAGAACCACTGAGAAAGGTAGGCAAGAGACACTGGAGTCAAAGTTTACAAGTTTTCATTTCAGACTCTGTATCCTTCTTGGTAGAAGTTCTAGACAGTGGTACCCCACTTTTGCAGGGAGGGGGAGGGACAGAGGCAGCTTAATTGGAATTCTGGTCACAGTTATTTAAAATTGTCTCTTTAAATGAAAAGTGGCTTTGTCTGTTATATAAAAATGTGGGAACTCTCAACTGCTTTGCCAATGCACATTGGTATATGGTATATTGTGAATCCTTTACAAATGTGTTAACCAAATTTTGACGAATTTGTAAGAAAGCTTGCTCCAACTGAGAGTCCTACATTTCAGTGATAGATCTCAGAATCTGAAGCTAAGCAGATCCTGGAACTGAATGTAGAGTCGGGAACAGAAGGTGTCAAATAAGAGGTAAGAAGCATAGTGTATTGTCAAACCAGCCCCTGAAAAGATGGTGTGTTTACTGAGCACGTGCAACCTTGGCCTGTGAATTATCAAAGAGAATGTGGTTGGGGCAGAACACGACTCTCTTCCCAGAGTTTGATAGTGTTGAGGGTTGGGCAAGAGAATGCTTTGCTTTCTCTTTGAGGCTTGCTTTCATAGACACTGTGAGACATGGTCACACTGAGTAGTGATGGTGGTTAAAGATTGCTGACTTTTTAGTGTTCTTTTAGGCCTTTTAATCTTTTCAAGTGTGCCACTAAAATTTATAGTATTCAAAACTGTGCCCCCCCCATGTAGTGCATGATGAGAATCACTGTAGTAGTACATTTAAAATTAAAATGGAAGAGATCTCCTTGTTCTTTTTTCTTATCAGTTAAAAGCTTTAACATCTCTCACTTCAAATGAGTATCATCTGTTTCTTTTTTATCTGAGCCACAGAACACAAAAGCTCATTAAAATCTGAGAAGTTTTATTAACTCTCTATGACAGTTTTCCCCCATTCTCTTCTTTATCTTCCTTGCGCAAGTAGGATTATGTGGTTGCTCGATGGGTTTTTAATATTGTCATGAAAAATCTCTCCTTGGGCATGTTTGTGCAGTAGATAGCATAACCTTAAGAGCCTTATTCAAATGAAGTGGGCAGACACCACCGAGCCAGCTCAGCACCAAATACATTTCAGTAAGTTCTTGTCAACTGCCATTTGTTATCTCATTTGTAATGGAACAAAGAACCACTAGACGGAGCTAGGGCTTAAGAAATCACAGCTCTAAGTTGGGCGTCTGATGTGATCTTATGGAAGAAGTATCATTACTTTGATTTCAAAGCCTACGCAAGCCTTACCTAACTCGGCTATTAGCCGTCATCTATTTACTTCGTACGCACACACGATGATGTCCACAATGGCCCAATTTATTTAGTCACTCAAATGATGACGTCTCACTGTGGTATAGCACCTCATGGTTTAGAGTGCTGCCCCCGGCATAATTATGTTTGATCTTCACAGTAACTCTGAGGCATTGCTGGGCAAGAATCACTCCTTGTATTTTGAGACTAGTAAATGGAGATAGGGTATCTGCAATAGAATAGGATGAGTCAGGATGGTTAACCTAGACAGTTGAGGTGGTGGGGTCTGTTTTTCCCTCGTAAACATTTTTGTGTCGACTTTATCTAGCCTGGAACTAACTAGAAAACTATCAACTCATTCCTTTTGTAGGGCATGGCCTCTGGCCACGCCCACTGGGGGGGACATACAATATAAAAGACAGGTGAAGAGTCACGTGCAGGTGGAAATGGCCCAATATAAGTGAGCACAGGAAAGTGAGCAAACGGGAGCTCCTGCCCAGAAACCTTTGGTGTATGTGATTCTTCATATCAGGGGCAGGTGTGGAGACCAGTACCTCATCCTTGTGGTGTAGACAGTCCTTCAAGCCAAGGTCGTGCGTAATTATTACTTAATGTTAAATGTTGGGGAAGCTGCCCACCCCCTCCCTCCACCCCCAGAAGCAAGCCCACCATTTTGACGTCTGTCAGTTTGTGCCTGTTCCCTAACCTCACACATTGACCATAACAGGTTGTGCTTCAGCAAAAAAAAGTGATGCATAGATACATATATTTTCTTGGCCTTTTGTGACAAGAGATGCTGGATAAGAGTGGGAATCAGGTCAGTCACTCAGCAAACTGATCAGACGTCCAGAGCCTGCATTTGTGCCTTTGGTTATCTTTAACAACTCAAGACAGTTCTTCTGGAGCTCGGTCAGTTGGTCACTCTGCAAGTCTGACCTCTTAAATTCAACTTCTTTAACTACTGGTGAAACACTGGCAACTTTCACAAATGAGGCTAACAAACCCTAAGGAGAGGCTGGAAGGTGTTCCAAGAGTCTCAGAGCTCCCAGAGGCTCCGGCCTGAAACAGAGCGAAGGAAGAGGGTTACAGGATCATGTCCCCCCCATTCCCCCCCACCCCCCGGACTCGTGGTGACCTTGTTGGAAGTGAATCCACCAAGGACACGGCTCCAAACGCCGCCCTCTCCACCAGCCCAAGGCTCATGCCGAACCCATCGCCGGGCTGCGCCCAGAGGGTGGCGCTGCTAACCCGGCCTCGGCCCATCGCCGCCCGCCGCTTCCCGGCCGCTGCGGGAGCCCCCCGCTCGCTCTCCCGCAGGCCGGCGGTGGTGGGGGGGGGGGCAGCGCCCGGTAGGGGGCGCCCTGTCCCAGGCGCCGCGGCTCCCTCCGCCCACCCGGAAGCGGCTGCGGCGAGGCGAGCCTGGCGCGAGCGCTCTGCGAGGCGGGCCGCCGGTAGGGAGGCGCGAAGAGGGCGCGAGGGTGGCAGCCGGAGGGAGCCGCCGCCCCTGGCCGCCCGGGTCCCCGCGGGGCGCATGGGGCGCTTCGATCCGGGATCGCGCGAGGGCCCGGCGCCCAGCTTCCTGCTGCCGTGAGGAGCCGCGCCGGGACGGCCCCAGGACCCCAAGCTGCCGGGAGGATGACCATGGCCGGGGGCAGGAGAGGACTGGTGGCCCCGCAGAACACGTTTCTGGAGAATATTGTCCGGCGGTCCAGTGGTAAGAGGTGCATTCGGATTTCGGTTACCCAGGCTTTTTATCCGTGCCTCGATTGCCGACGCCTCCCGCCGCTCGGCGCCAGCAGATGCAGTAGAACCCGGAGCTCTGCTGGGAGCCCCAGCGCGGGCGTCCGGAGCTGCCTCCCGGAGGCAGGGCTAGGTGGGCAGGGTGGGGCGAGGTCTGTGGGCCCCCATCCCAAGAGGAGAGCTCTGCTGGGGACGCCTTTGGGGGCCCTTCTCGCGCCTTCTCGGTCTCCTCTCCAGCGAGCGTGACAGCTGATGGGCAAAGTACTGGGAAAGTGATGGGAAGCCGGACGCGGCACGAGCGGCAGCGCGCTCCCCATGGGTACTGCCCACCCCGCCGCGAAGGCTCGCGGGGCTCTCTGGCTGCACCCCAGGTGCCGCCTCTCCCCAGGGAGAGCCAGCAGTAGAAGAGGCCACTAGGGTCCGGGCCCCCGAGGGATGGGGGCGGCGGCTGCTTCCACCTTCCATCGGGCGGCTGAAAAGTCCGAGGTGTGGGGACGCGGGGATGTAGGGACGTGCTGCAGGTTACCCGGTTCCACCTCTTCACCCACCCGCCCTCTTGGAGGTTAAGTGAAGGCTCCTGCGGGGCAGTTTCCTGGACTTAGATGGGAAATGGAGCGCATAGGTGCAGAGCTGGCCAAGCTGTCACAGGGACAAACCTGCCATAGTTCCTCTTTTCCAAACCTCAGCAGTGTTTTATGCTTATAAATCTTGCTCACCTCGACATTCCCAAGCTCACCAAGCCTGTAAATCTATCCCTTAAACGCAGTAAACGAGTGCTCCCCGCTCCTCTCTTTCTCTGTGGCATTAAGAGGGACAGTGGCATGAAGCGGGAGACGGTGAGAGTCCTAGCAGCAGGGATGGAAAGGGAAACATTTCCGACACCTTCAGGACCCACAGCAAAGCGTCCTGGCTAAAGCGCTTGCAGAGCATCTAGGAGGTGGGCATCTGGAAGGTGCGGTGCACACCCGTTCGTCAAAAGGCTGAAATGAACGGGGGGCAAGTCTGGAGATGCTCTTTACAGGCTTCGGGTCTCCTCTCCTTCCAGAGGAGGCAGATGACACGAAGAGCTAACTTGGGCAATAGGTTTTAAAAAATGCGGAAATATCACAGCTTTAGAGCCTCAAGGAGGAGCTTGTGTTAAAATCATGGGCTTCTATTTGGATTTAGTTAGGGATTCAGGGGAAGAGCGTGAAAAGTGACTTATGCTCCCAAGAAATACTTTTTAATTAAAAAGTGATTTAAGTTTAGCTTACAACAAAAAACTTGTCGACTAGGATAGCATATTATTGTGTATTATTTAAATATTTTAGAAATGGTCATTTATTGTGTGCCTCTTAAGAATAAGAGTATTGAAGAGTTTCTGGTTAGTCACCTTTCCCTTCAAGGTCCTCCTCACTCAAACGAACTGAGGTAGCTTTTAGAACAAGGTCACAGCTATTACCTGGGGACTCAAGGGGATGATATTTACTACATGAATAGTCACAATGAACTCTTCTGTCATAAAAAAAGCTAGAGGTGTTCATGGATTTTTAAATAAAATCACTAAGTAAGAGTTAATTGGCTGTGATTGCTGTGGTTATTGACCTGTTAGGGCATGTGGAGTGGAGACAGTCTTGCAGATTTGGGGAACCCAGTGCCAGTGACACCAACTTTCTCGTAAATATCAATGACAATTCCATTTTTGCGGGGTGGGGTGGGGGGTGAAGAGGCAGTGTTCTTTAAGGTATAGGGGAAACCTTGTGTCTAATGTGTATCCTCTAATGTTTTTGAGTGGAGAGGGAGGTAGCAGAATCTTACATGTAACAGTCATAAAGTTCCTTGGGCTTGTAGGAGGACCTTAAGAATGGTGGCACCAGGGGCACCAGGGTGACTCAGTCGGTGGAGTGTCTGACTCTTGATTTCCACTCAGGTTATGATCTCAGTGTCCTGGGATCAAGCCCGGAGTCAGGCTCCCCACCGAGGATTCTTCCCCACCCCAACTGTCCTTCTGCCCCTCCCCCTCTTGCACTTCCTTTCTGTCTCTCTCAAATAAATACATAAATCTTAAAAAGAAAAAAGAATGGTGAAACTAATACCACACAAACACAAAATAAATCTTGGAGCTGAGACAGCAGAATACTCTAGTTGATTTTCTTAGAGCCACTTCTCCTCTCTAAGCATATATTGTGTCAATAGACTAAGTAGCTAGCAATATTTTTAGCATTGGCATTTTAATTTCAGCACCAATTCCAACAGCTTGACTTCAGCTAACCAACCAACCAAATGACATCAGCAACACAAACAAAACATCGTAGGAAAGTTGGATGAAGTTTTAAAATTATCTATTATTTCAGAAGAAAATATTCTGGTCTTGACATGTGGGATTTAAGCTTTTAGTGATCCCTTTCATCACATTTCCAAAACACAAATAGAAGAAAACTATGTGGACTCTTGGAACTATCACGATATCTTCGTGCATTATTTTATTTTACTGTGATGGAAAGAAGTCTATTTAAAAATATTGATTGTCTCCTCCTAAAATCCACTAGCCTTTTTTTGGACATTACAGTATTGAAATAGCAGTTTACCTTTAAATAGCAATACTTTTTGGATCATCTTTATTAAGCATTCTCTCCCAGTGATCTTATGCAATATTATTGTTCCTCATTTACAGATCAGAAAACTGAGCCCTAGGAATATTAAGTGACTTGTTCAAAGTGGGAAGCACAAAGTGCCTGATGCAGGAGGTCTTTGGAGGGTATCATTCATCATTGTTTCTCCAGCCATCTGACAACTGTGCTTCTGGATAATAGAACTGGCTTTGTCTTGGGGCATTTGAATATCTGGTGTCTGGAATATCATAACCTGTAGGATTCGATGCTGTGTCGTCTGCCTCTCATTCCCCATCTTTGTACAGATGAAGAAAGTGAAGCAAGCGCATTTCCTCAAATATTTAAGGGCAGAGCTGATGAGACCCGAAGTCCCTTGACCCCAGTGTCGTGTCCCTCATGGTACACTCTGCAATGACCTTCCTTGTATTACCATTATGTTCTCTAGAGAAGCTTAATTTCCCAGTGGAGACTGAATAAAATGTTACAACAGCAAGAACAACATCCATTTTGGCTAACAGCCACACTACCACATCCAAACTGAGTAACAGGGCAAAGGAGAAGCTAATTCTGTTTTAAGGAAGGGCGGTATTTTCACCTCTGTCAGTGGGTTAACTGAAGTCACCGGCAGGGTAACAGGCACTTACTTATTCAAGCACCTGTTATAAAGTATTAAATAACTTTGATCCTCAAATGCCAGCAGAGGAGGTGCAGTGTGTCCATTTTAGAGTTTCAAGAGCTAAGAATCTCGGGGCGCCTGGGCGGCACAGTCAGTTAGGAGTCAGCTTTCGGCTCAGGTCATGATCCTGGGGTGCTGGGATCGAGCCCCGCGTCGGACTCCTTGCTCGGCGGGAAGCCTGCTTCTCCCTCTCCCACTCCCCCTGCTTGTGCTCTCTCTCTCACTGTGTCTCTCTCTCAAATAAATAAATAAAAATCTAAAAAAAGAGAGGAATCCTTAGATTAAGTAATTTAGCTACAGTTAGTAAAGGCAGAGTTAGAAAATGCAGTTAGAGACACATCGGGGACTCGTCAGCAGCTGTGACAGGTTTGTTCATTCAAAACGATTTATTGAGCACAGTTATTGAACACTGGGGATATAGTGGGAATCCAGAAACCCTCCTTACTCCTTAGAAATTTACATTCTAGTGAATCTTGGTCCAAGCATCTTGACCCTTTCTACAGTGTTTCTGTTTGCAGCTCTGATTTAGGCCTGGCATTGTGTTTAAAAAAAAAAGCAAAAAACATTTTTAAGGTGTTTAACTGGTCTTGATAGGACTAAAATCTAGTTTAACTTTCTCTGATATATTCTGAAGACCATTTGGAGGAGAGATTTAGTAGTTACGTGCTTTTTGGATAGTTGCAAGTAGTTAGCAGGAATAATTAACTATTCCCCAGATTTTGCTTATGGTCATGTCAGTGATCATTTCAAATCCTTCTGTTGACTTTCTTACCAGCCTGTTTCTCTTTATATTCATGATTGGAAAGTGTTGTTCCAGAATATTTTTTGATGGTTGCTTAAATCCAGGCACTTACTGTCTTAGGAAGGCTGGCAGACCTTCGTGCCAGGAAACTAAAAAAATATTACCCTAAATGGTCCCATTCTAGGCAGAACATATGTTTTAGTGTTCGGAAACCTATATCAAACAATTGTAGGTGCCAGTAAGAATCCATGCACATTAGCAGGAGTGAAACGTAGCACATTTTGGTACACATTTATGTACATGTATAATTTACAGATTGCTAAATCAGCTGTGTTTTTGTATAGTGTTAAGTTGGTTCAGGTTGTTGATATAATTAGTACACAAACAGGATGAAAGCTGAGGGTAATGTTGTGTTTCCTCCTAGATGTGTTGAGCCACGGTAATATTTATAAAACAGAAAACTGGTTAAAATCCATTGTTGCTCTGAAAGGGGAATAGATGATAATCTGGATTATTACCAGCTCACTGGAGCCTGTTTTTTTCTTGTAATGTGTTCTAAGATAACCTTCAGCCAAGGCTCCGCTGTCTTGCTCTGAAAGTGTCAAAGTTAAATGTAGTGACTGATAACCAGCTCGGAGACAGGGAGGACGAAGGCTTCTGATTTAACGGAAAGCAATAACATTTCCAAACTCCTTGGTTTTTATGAAATCCCCCTATTTTTATAATCGATTGTAAAAGAAGAAATGCATTTGAGGAGCACTGTGGGCGAATTGGATCTTTGGCTTCATTCTTTCTGACACCAGCTCTTCATTTATGATTGGGCCTCAGTTGGCAGTGGTTTCTCCAGCATTACCTTGAAGTCCCTCAATTCTTCCCCTCCCCTTTATTTTTGGTTAGTTAATGGCTTGTATGCAAACACTTAAAAAATGTTTGTTATTTATTCAAAGGAACGACTTTCGTAAAGT